GTTTCGGGTCCGGTGAACTTCTGAGGAAGGATCACCGGAGCCGAAATGTTAACTCTGTTTTTTCCTTCACAGATGCTGCCAGACCTGCTGAGCTTTTCCAGCAACTTTGTTTTTGTTCCATTACTCTCACATTCTGATCAATTCAAATGCACAGGTAGTTAACAAAATTGTATAGCCAAAGAGAATTAAAAACAGTATCACCTTGAAATTTTGATCAATCATAATGTCAAAACCCAGAAGATCAAAGTAGCCCAGTTTCCTACCAAGTCTGGCTTTGGTGGCAATGAAGCATTGTGTCATGATTTGTTGCGTTCTCTTCTGTAAGAAAATATTAAATCTCTTAATAATCTTTGCAGTCAGACAACATTCTTTGTTACACAGTCTATAGTTTTGTTTTTATTTGAGGAATGCTTAGATGCAGTACATTCCTCTTACTTCCCCACCCCTTCCCACTACAATTCTTGTTCCCTTCCTTTACGTTACATATCTTTCAGTTTGAATTTTAATCGTCGAGCAGTGAAGATCTCATCCATTTTAGTTTTATAGCTCCAATCCTATTTCACTGGGTTTACCATGTTTGAGATAATTCCATGCTTCACCAAAGCCTGTTGAGAAGATCGAATTAACATTGCTTCATTGAATTGAGTATGGAAATCTATAAACGAAGGGTAAATGATAACGAGACAACAAGGTGCAGAGCTGGATGAACACAGCAGGCCAAGCAGCATCATAGGAGCAGAAAGGCTGACGTTTCGGGCCTAGACCCTTCATCAGAAACGTACCAGTTATCCCAATGGCTAGTTATAACCCACCAGCCACTGATAGTCTGTCAGTCACAACGTCAGTGCAATAATTACGTGTTTAAACAAAACTGGACATGTACTTCCTTCCAAGAATTTGGATTGAATCATCTGGACACTTGTTTTGAATATTGTAACTATTGGTGGTGCTCTAAGGATATCCAACATGCTAGCAAAATGGGCAAAAGGTTTTGTACAATCATCATAATAAACCATAATAATTACACATACAGATTGCGATTCACTGTCAGTTTGGATATCGTCATGTTTTAGGTGAGAATTTGATTTGTTACAAGCGTTGAAGTATATACAATGGTCCAAAAATTATCTCAAAGGTAAAAGAAGTTTTATTTCATTTAAAAATGTCTACAGTTGGCAAGTGGCTTGAATCACTTCAAATGAGACCAGTGAATGCACAGAAAAGAACAAAAGTTCAAAATAAAGGGAGTTACTGAAAGTGAGAGGACAGTTTTTAAGATTAAAACAGAAATATTTGGCAACTCAAGTCTCAAGGCAAAGAAAAGACAGTTAACACGATATATCAATGATGAGTTAGGGTGGTACTATGGCTCAGTGGTTGGCACTGCTGCCTCACAGCGCCAGGGACCTCGATTTGACTCCACCCTTGGGCGACTGTCTGTGCAGAGATTGCACATTCTACCTGTGCCTGCATGGGTTTCGTCCCGGAGCTCTGGTTTCCTCCCACAGTCCAAAGATGTGCAGGTTAGGTGGATTGGCCATGCCAAATTGTCCGCAGTGTCCAGGGATGTGCAGGCTATGTGAATTAGTCATGAGAAATGCAGGGTTATAGGGTAGTAGTTGGGTATGGGTGGGATGCTCTTCAGAGGGTCTGTGTGGACTCGATGGGCCAAATGGCCTGCTTCCAAGCTGTAGGGATTCTATGGGTTCTAATGAAAGTTGAAGCATGCATTGTGTTCCCCTTTCCATAAGTGCTGCCTGACCTGCTGAATATTTCCAGCAATTTGGTTTTTATTTCAGGTTATCAGCATTATACTTTAGAACATAGAACATAGAACAGCACAGGCCCTTCAGCCCACGATGCTGTGACGACCTATTATCCTACTCTAAGATCAAACTACCCATGTGTCTATCCAAGAGTCGCTTAAATGTCCCTAACGTATCTGACTCCACTACCACCGCTGGCAGCGCATTCCACGCACCCACCACTTGTTTTTGCATTCAGCTGTCAAAGGATGTTGGCTGGTCTGGGAGCACCATCAGAACACCAAGCAACAAGAAATGCCAGCCAGAAATCAAAGGACTATAACAAGGAAATTGTGACCTGGTGTCAGATCTGGGAAAATGTGTAAACAGCATAGCGTTAAATCACAGAACACAGCCAACGGCAAAAGATCCTAATTGATTGTAAAGTCAGTCTGCGCAGTGATAAAGTAAAGTGAAATTTCCAATCAATTGTGGTTTCTGTAAAGACCTAAGAAATATTTATTACAACAGGTTTTGTGAAATTGAATAAAAGTTAATTGAGGATGGCCTTTGTTCACTGGATCTGACTATAAATGTTGACTTTATTTAAAAAGAAATGTATCACTATCACTCATCCAATAACAGTGTGGTTGTAATACTGAATTTTAGTATTATAGAATGTAGGAGCAGGAGTAGGCAGTTTGGTCCTTTGAGCCTGCTCTGCCATTCAATATGACCATCACTGATCATTCATCTCAGTCCCCCGTTTATGCTTTCTCCCCATATCCTTTGATCCCTTTAGCTATAAGAATAAGATCTAGTTCCATTTCCAAAAAAAAATTCAATGTTTTGGCATCAACCATTTTCTGTGGCAGAGAAACCCACAGACCTACCCCATATCTGAACCCGTGACCTCTGGTTCTGGACTCCCTGGTCATTAGGAACACTGTTCCTGCATTTACCTTGTCTAGCCCTGTTTGAATGTTATTGGTTTTTATGAGATCACCCCTCATTCTTCTAAACTCCAGCGAATATAATCCTAAACTATGCAGTATCACTTCATACATTAGAACTGTCATCCCAGGAATCAGTCTGATAAAGCTTCATTGCACCCCCTCCATAACCAGAACATCCTTCCTCAGTTAAGGGGACCACAACTGTATATAATATTCCAGATGTGGTCTCACCAAGGCCTTGTACAGTTGCAGCAAGACATCCCTGCTCTTGTACTCGAATCCTCTTGCTACAAAGACCAACATACCATTTGTCTTCTTCACTGCCTGCTGCAACTGTATGCTTCCTTTAGCAAGTGCTGTATAAGGACATCCAGGTTTCATTGCACCTCCCCTTTTCCGATCTATTACCATTCACATAACAATCTGCCTTGCTGCTTTTACTACCAAAGTGGATAACCTCATATTTGTCCACATTATCCTTCATCTGCCATGCATTTGCCCACTCATTCAACTTTCCCATATCATACTGAAGTATCTCTACATTCTCCTCACAGTTCACCCTCCCATTCAGCTCTGTGTTTTCTGCAAACATGGAGACTTTGTATTTAGTTCCCTCATCTTAATGATGGGATCCAAGCGCTGATCCCCGTGGTACCCCACTAGTCATTGGCTGCCATTCAGAAAAAGACCCATTTAAAGACTCTGTTTCCTGTCTGCCAATGAGTTCTCAATCCATGGCAGTACATGACCCCCAGTCCCACGTACCTTAATTTTACATGCTAATCGTGAAAGACGCAGGTTTTATTTTTCTTTTATTGATTCATGGAGCATGGAAACTGCTGGCTAAGCCAACATTTATTACCCATCCCAAATTGCCCTTATGGAGGGCTTTGGTGATATGCCTTTTTGAGCTGCTGCAGTACAAAGAAACCCACAGTCTGTTAGGGAAGGACTTCTAGGATTTTGACAGAGAGAGAGAGAGAGAGAGAAGAAAAAGCAAGACAGTTCCAAGTCAGGATGGTATGTGGCTTAGAGGCTAACTTGCAGGTTGTGATATTTCCATGTATCTGCTGCCATTCTCTATCTAGTAGGTAGAGCTCAGGTATTTGGAGAGTGCTGTCTAAGGAGCCTTGGTGATCTATTGCAGTGCCATCTTGTAGATGGTATACACCGCTGCTACTGTGCATAGGTGATGGAGAGAGTAAATATTGAACATGTTAGATAGGCTAACAATTAAGAGGGCTGCTTAGTCCTGAATAGTGTTGAGAGCCTCATTGAAGCTGCACTAATCCAGACAAGTGGTGAGTATTTGATCGCACTCCTATTTTGTGCCTTGTGGATGGCGGACAGGTTTTGAGGAGATAAGAGAAAAGTTACTCACCACAGAATTTACAGCTTCTAATCTGTGCTTGCAGTCATAGTATTTATAGGCTGGTCCAGTTCAGTGTTTGCTCAATGGTAACCCTCAGCATGTTTATAGTGGAATCAACAATGTTAATGCCATCAAATGTCAAATGGCAATGGTTAGATTCTTGTTGGAAATGGTCATTGCCTGGCGCTACGCAGCACAAATATTGGTTGCCACTCAGCAGTACAAGCCCGAATATTGTCCAGATGTTGCTGCATTTGGACATGGGCTGGCTCAGTATCAGAGGAGTTGTGAATGTACAATGTACAGCACCAATCATCAGTGAACAGCCCCACCTCTAACATTATGATGGAGAGAAGATCATTGATGAAACAGCTAGAGTTAGTATGTCCTGAGGAACTACTGTAGAGATGTCCTGTGGCTGAGATGATTGGCTTCCAACAAACACACCATCTTCCTTTGTGTTAGGTATGACTCCAAATAGTGGAGAGTTTTCCCCTGATTCTAATTTACTCTAGTCTTGCTTTTGATTGCTGCGTTGTTTTGGATTGCCTACTATTAACCATAGAACATCGGGGGTATCACAATTGATCACAGTCCTTGCATCAAAGGGGTGGTAAAAAGATCATGGATTGTTGCTGGCCTGTATCATTCGATATCACATGCAACGTCATTAGAGGAGCAACTATAGAGTACCACAAGTGGTTAGAAAATGAAACACACTATCACATGGTGTAGAATAGCACAGGTGAATTTAAAGGAAGCTGTGTATTTAAGTCAGGAGGGAGAAATGAAGAGAAGAATATGCAAATAGGATTAGATGAAGTAGGCAGCACAGACCTATTTCTCTTCTGTCAATTCTATGTAAAACCAAGGCCTCATGTTCACTCCAATGTAAAATAGAAAGGTCAGACATCATTACAGGATTTTGGAGATAAGGCCAGGTGTGAGATTAAGTTTGATGATTCTTTCAAAAAGCCAGGACAAATAAAATAGGTTAAATGGCTTCCCTCAGTGCTGTGAACATCTATGCTTTAATGGCACCTATTTGACCCATCCTTCCCAAGCAAAACTGGCCTTGACGAAACTAACTGAAAAAAAAAGCCAACATGTGATTTTCCCTTTCCCTCTCTGAGCTTGATGGGCCATTGTTTCTGTGGCAATGTCCTGCTGCAACATTCTTCTGAAATCACACTGGAAATGGCCCAAATAGCAGGAGCAAAGACATCTTCAGTGGGCGGGCACACCACCCCAGATCTGAGGCCTTCCCAAGAAATTAAGTGCCTTGCTGTGCAGAGCTATCCAGAGCAGTACATGATGCACATTGAGATATCCAAGAATTGAAACCCAACAGACGCATTCGCTGAAAAATGTGGAAATGGGTTTCCCCAATGGACATGGGAGACACAGTAAAGGACAAAACAAATTAAGGCCCTTGGGTCTAGTAGAAGACTCCTCTGAACTCTCAGTCCAGGAAAGTGAGATCAGACCTCTGTTAGGACTGTGCTCTGATAAATAAAATGTTTTAACATTTTTGAAATATTTAATAAATTCGAGCCATGTATCAAATTTGTTGTCAAAGTTACATAATCGGTGAATGGTTTCAGTGCAGTAGGAGGCCATTCAGCCTGTCATGTCTGTGCTGGATTTCTGAAGGAGCAATCCACCTTATACCATTCTCTTGTAGCCTTGTGCATTGAAACTTTTTAAATAATAATCCAAGTTTATCTTGAATGCCCCAATTTAATCTGCAGTTACCAAAAAAGCAACACATTCCAGATGATAACTGATGGCTGCATAACCCTCCTGCACCATCGTTTCTTTTGCTAATCATCTAAATCTGTAAAGACCTGAGAAACATTTATTAATATTGTGTTATAAAATGCATAGTTCAGAACTAAGCTGATTTGATTATGGATGTTTACTCTAATTTGATTCAGTTTCTGAGATACATTTTGTGATCATGTTTGTTAGGAAGCTTGTTGATCTGAACAAATATATTGTAATCAAAATCTCACAATGGTGACGTAGGGACATCATCTCATCTCTGATCAGGAGGCCTGTATATCTCAATCCTCCAGTGGTGAGAGGCCTTCAACTGAGCCTCATTCTGCTAATTAGAAACAGCATAAACTTACCGTAAAAACATTGAAAACCCAGTCTCTTGGGAGATGTTTTGCTTCCATATATTTCTCATTAATGTAGTCATTCAAGCGCTCCATGGACCAGATTGAGTCCTCCTTCATCTCATTGTACAGGGGGTTCTTTTTCTGTATGAACTGTGGGTAAGAAAGTGCAAAGCTGCAATTAATGGAATAAAACTGACTCTCCTGAGGGTTGGGGGAAGGGAGCAGGTGGATTGAAATCAGCCTCCTGAGCAAGAGGTCAATTAAATGCAAGATAAATAGTTTGGAGATAAAACAACTAAAGCATCTCAGGTGAGGAAGCTTTCTATACATCAGGAAAATAGCAAAAAGTATTTCTTTGGAGGAACAGTTCCCAAATTAATTTTAGGACTTACAATGTCTAATGGAGCTTCATTAAGTAGAGTTCTATACAATTTTTTTTAAACCCCAATTCTTCCTCTGTGGGTGGATGTTGCAAACGTTTCATGTGCTAAATGAAAGGAGCTTGAGGGCATTGGTGATCCTCGCTGACACTGCATAGTCTGTGCTGTTGGCCATGGGTTATCTGAAAGGGAGTAGTGACACTACCTGTATTCTCCAGTTACTGTCTGGTCTTGTCGAGAAGGCTGATGGCATGTTGGCAGGTGTGGGCAACATGACTGTGGTGCCATTTGAAGTGTATAGTGTTTCTTTTCATTTTCTTTCCCGTTGGACTGAGCAAACCCCATAGTCTAAAGGACGTGGCAGCAAGGCAAAATGGATGCAGCAGGTTAAGAGATCTGTTCTCAACCTACAAGGACCTGGATGACTTTTGACAGCTACTTGAAATAGGTTTAAATAGCACAGCTATCAAAATGGAACATTGCAAGTTTCCAACACCTACACTCCTCTTTGTGCTGTTAATAAAATATCATATAGTCTGATAAGAGCAAAGAGTACTGAGACTGCTACAAACTCTCTCAGACATCAGCAAAGGATATTGTGCCAATTCACATATGACTACTAACAATCCAATAGTTGTTTCCAGATTAAACCTTCACGATGATGTGCAGATAAAAATTTCAGAGCTCTAAATACAACTCTATCTTATTGTTGTATAAGTTTTGTATACTAGGAAATTACACATGCTATTGCATTACTGAGTATAATTACCAAAGTTTTAATATATAAAATATTGTGACAGAATTGGGAAAGAGAGGTCAGAATCTCCATGGGTGTATTTAATGGTTAACTGGGACACTGACAGTTGCAAAACCAAAAGGGAAATGTCAATTGAAATCATGACAGTAGGAAATATGGTTTGTGGGCAGGAAGTTAGAGATTTTAAGTTATCGCTGGTTGTCCCATAAATTGCAGATGACAATTAATCAGGATCACAAGTTCATTGCCCTAAGCCTTTTGCATGGCTGAAGGATACACTCAACCGCAGACCTTTGAGTACATGCACCTGCCTCTCAATGTCATCATTACGTTGTTTGGATTCAAAGCCTAATGTAGCTTAATGGACAAGTTCTTGTGACTTTGCACAATTGGTAGCAAGCTCCTCCAAGTCTTTAATACCAATTCTGTGTGCTTCAAGGAGATCTTCAGAGTGTCTTCGTCTTCCTTTGGAACACTGGTCATTTGACAGTAGACGAGCATATGCAGCAAGCAACTAGGAAGTCAAATGGTACACTATTCTGACAAAGGAGCACTGGACTTGAAATGTTAACTCAGTTTTTCTCTCTACAGACCTGTTGAATTTCTCCAGCACTTTCTCTTTTATAGTTTCAAATTTCCAGTGTCCTTTTTTTGGTTTTAAACATTGAAATAACTGCACAGAGACCAGTATCCCGTCACCAAGTCACCCTTTATTTACATGTGCAAAATACGCTGGCTGTGGCCAGCCAGCTTGAAGTCAGTCCCCTGAAATGAGGAGATTCTAATCTCCTGGCCCAGGTTAATAACCCCAGTCAACAACCTTATAGTCAATGAGGTCAACCTGGTTCCAAACACTACAAAATATAGTCTGGGAATATTCCAGATTCCCTTTGTTAACATATTTGGGAAATGGAATATTTGACTGATCAGATCCTTTTCTTAAGCAACATTCAACGACAGGGCAAGTCTTTTGTATACAGAATTAAAAATATCACAAGTGGCTTCAATTCTGGTGCAGAGTGAGCAATGACACTGTAATCATCCACATACTGCAGGTCATATGCATCTACGGTGGGCATTTCATTTGGCAGTATGTCCGTCTAGGCATTATCTAATGCCACACCAATTGATCTTTGATGAAGTGAATAGCCACTGTCAGATAGATTGTATATAGTATGGGGGCTATCACATAGCTTTGCTTGACATCAGGCCAGTTTTTGAAGGTACGATTAAATTATCATTTGAGCAGCTGAAAGATTATGAAGAAATTTCTTGGACCAATTTCTTTGGTCAGGTTAACAAATGTGGTCAAAAGTTCCTGCTGATGTTCTTGACATTATTCTTGGATTTGGTTGGCAACAATTCCTTTGTCCAAGATTTTCCTGGAAGTTATAAAGGTGCATTGTGTCTCTGGTAGGATTTTCTTTGCCAAAGAAAGGATGGCAACTCAGGAAAATCTGTGTCAGGATTTTCCTGGCAAGAACAAGAGGGAAATTCCTTGATAATTACAACAGCTTGACTCTCCCTTCTTGTAGATAGCTACAACTGACACATTCCTGAAGTTGGGGTAAGCTTTTTTTCCTCACAAATCCGCAGGATGAGTATATGGAGTCTTGATGTAAGCAAATGCCCACCGGCTTTAAAAACTGGAATGCCAACAGGTCCACAGGCTTTGGTATTTTATATCCATATTATCACTTGTTGCAAGTCTCCCATCAATGGTGATCCATGGATTCTTCCACTGGGTATTGTGGCGTAACCTGAAGAGTGACAGCTGCCCCCTGTGGATTCATTATTGATAAGTCATTGAAAATGTCTTTCTAGCACAGATGAATGTTATTAATTATGGCATTGATGAATGGCATGAGATGTTTATTAATGCACAAATAATAAAATTGTTGCATCAAAGTGTGTATTTTCTGCAAATATCACATTTCCTTTCTTTAACAACATATGTCACATTTAGATGATATAGTTGCAGACTTTCTGAAGCAGTCTGAGCAACATCATGGGAGATCTGCCAACAAATCAATCTTAATAAGATATCAATTTACTGCATGATTATGAAATTTGTATTAAAGAATTAATTAACATTAATACAATCATTCAACTCACTTGCACTCTGGATTCCAAGCTAATTAACATTTTTGGGAAGTGAATCTTCAGCCGAGCAATTTTGGAAACACCAATGCACAGTACAGGTCAAGTCTGATTTTGACAATCTCAGTCATAGGACGTGTATTGGCCTCAAAGTGTCACAGTAACACAATGCAATGCTCAGATATGCAGAGAACAATAAGATCTTCAGTACCCCTGACTGTGCTGGGTAATGTGACAGGGTGACATTGGGAATGGCACAGTTAGCCTTTGTGTTGTATTTTCCATGCACACCAAAACAGGAGATAAATATGTAATTCTTTATATTTGGATAGGGCACTGCAGGGATCACCTATACCCGAGGTCAGCACACAGTAAATTCACTCACCCCTTTTCAAAACAAGTGTCAACTGCATATCTCACAGACATTTGATTGGTTGATGGAAAATACCACTTTAAAAACTGGATAGATCGTTGAATTGGATATTAAATGTTTTAACAAACCTGGTATAGAATTGTTGATATTGCTGTGAGAAAAAAATACTCAGGTGAAGTTTTGTGGCGGCATTTGAAGGGTTAAATACAGAAAAATAGATTGAAAATAGCAAGAGATGGGTGGGGTGCAATGATCGGATGACTATCAACAGCTGTCAGCTGGGTATTTTTAACCCCCCTCTCAGGGGTTGCTGGGTCATTTACACAATACTAATGAACACCTGCCTCAAATTCAGCTGAACATCACCTGAGCAGATAAATTCCCCCTGCGCTGCCTGACGACATGAACAAACAAGCAGCAAAGAAACAACAATCTCCTTGAGGTATCTGCAGCAATACCTACAGGATTCTCAAATGCTCAAATCCAATGGATCACACAAGTTGCATTCTCACACGTTTCATACCCCTAATGATTGCTGCTGGGTTCCAAGCTGCTTGTGCCCTCTAGACCTACTTTTTCTAACCTTCTGACTTTCCTGGACGCAATGGAATATTTCCATAGTGACAACAGGGTTGGGTGAAGTAATGTTGTGATGTCCACATGGTGCAACAGCCTTCTGAACATAGATATCAAACATGGTCAACATACAAACAGAATGCTGGAAATACCCAGCAGGTCTAGGAGCATCTGTGGAAAGGGAAACAGAATTTAAAGTTTCAGATCTTGGGCCACTCATCAGCACCAACAAAAGTTAGGAATGCAATAGGTTTTGATTGAGTGAAAATGTGGGGAAGGAGATGGGAAAAAGAGCAAAGGAAAAGATCTGAAGGAGTGGGGAGATCAGGAGAGAATAAATGATAAAAGGTGACTTGAAACCTTGTCCCCTGCTCTGATGATAGGACACAGGTCTGTTGTGTTAACTGTTTTTCCCACCGCAGATGCTGCCAGATCTGCTGAACATTTCCAGAATTTTCTGCTCTTAATTCACATCTCCAGCACTGTCATTATTTTGCTTCTGGATTAAGCAATGGCCATTTGACTAAGGTGTGATATTGTATTAATGCCTGGGAAAATACTCTTGGATGTACTACCACTCCGAGGAGGAAAGAAGAAAGAATCAAGAAAAAAAGTAGCAGCCTATTTAATCAGGAGGAAAGATTGGGGGAAAAAAGAAGGAAGAAAAGGTGCCAGTCCAAAGATCCAAATTAAGGACTCTGCTCCCTATCTGAAGCTACTTGCAAGGCATTAGTAAAATTTGATGCGTTGAATTACAAAACAATCTGCAAAGTCACCAAATTGCTTCAAATCATTAACTAAATGAATCATTCAAAGAATGTCAGTGCATTGCAAAACAACTAGGCAAGTTTCCGGAACTCCGTATTTCTGTTTCTTTTTATCCAGTTTTCTGTTTGATAAAACTAATGCTAACATGAAGACACTGATATAACCATGTTAAATGTAAGATGCAGGAATAGGCCTTCCAGACTTTCAAACTCTAATAGCCATTCAAATAATATTGTGGTATTTCCACCTTAAGTTGCCCATCCTTTCACGATATTCCTTAATTCCCTTACTGTCATTTTTTCAATTACTTGGCCATCCCACCCTTCACATTTACTTTTTGCCACTGTGTTCTGCTCCCACCATCAAGCAGGATAAACAATAACCCACATTCACCCCCGTCATGAAATGAGAGGAATAAACCCATAACAGCATCTGGGCTATCACTGAGATTCCAACTCTCAGCTTCAATGAAGGTTGATCACTGAATGCTATTTGAATGATTATTATTTGTACTTAGCAGGCTTTCTCAGATTTCAATTTTGAAAACCAATGGCTTCAGTTTCCACTGAATTCCAATGAATCTGTCAGTTTATTTCTTTCACTGTTGTGGAAAAATGTTTTAAACTTACTATAATTCTGAAAATACAGATAGCAACAGATTCAAACAATCAAAAGATGAATCATGAGAATGAGTGTGAGGCAGCACAGAAGGCGTTAATTCAGACCCATGGCTGTGCTACCCCTCCCGTAGTACAGCTATGAGCTGTTAATTCATCCTACTCTCCTTCCTCACATAATCCTGAAACTGTTTCCTTTTGAGTATCCAGATTATTTTTGAAAGCTACGATTGAATATGCCCTCATTGCCTTTTCATGCTGAGCACTCCAACCAGCATCATAGAGTTGTACAGCACGGAAATGGACTCTTCGGTCCAAATCATTCATGCCGACCAGATATCCTAAATTAATCTCATCCCATTTGCCAGCATTTGGCCCATATCCCTCTAAACCCTTCCTATTCGTGTACCCATCCAGATGCCTTTTAAATATTGTAATTGTACCAGCCTCTACCATTTTCTCTGGCAGCTATTTCCATACACACACCACCCTCTGTGTGAAAAAATTGACCCTTAGATTCCATTTACATCTTTCCCCTCTCACCTTAAACCTATGCCCTCTAGTTTTTGACTTCCCTACCCTGGGGAAAAGACCTTGACTATTCACCTTATCCATGCCCCTCATGACTTTATAAACTTCTCTAAGGTCACCCCTCAACCTCCAACAGTCCAGGGGAAATAGTCCCAGTCTATGCAGCTTCTCCCTATAGTTCAAACCTTCTAACCCTGCAACATCCTTGTAATTTTTTTCCGAACACATTCACGTTTCACAACATCCTTCTTATAGCAGGAAGACCAGAATTGAATGCAGTATTCTAAAAGTGGCCTAACCAATGTCCTGTACAGCTGCAACATGACGTCCCAAATCCGATACTCAATGCACTCACCAATAAAGCAAGCGTACCAAATGCCTTCTTCGTTGTCCTGTCTACCTGCAACTGCACTTTCAAGGAACTATGAATCTGCACTCCAAGGTCTCTTTGTTCTGCAACACTCCCCAGGACCTGGGGATTCTGCCCATCTCTCCCTATCTTGTTTTGTTTTCTAAACTTAAACAACAGAGTGGATTTGGAATCCAAGACCAACTGCATGGTGAGTTACCCTAAAGACACACTTTTCTTGTGTTATTTGAAAAGATCAGGACGCACTAGCAATATAAAACTGTCCTGCACTCCATCAGCCAGCCCAAAATGGCACCCAAAAGCCAGATGTGCCAGTCCTCCACACTTCTCATTCTCTGAGTATTGGAAATGTAAAATACCTGCCTCGCTCACATTGCAACTCCGTCTCTGAACACAACAGTTACTCAGAAAGCAATGATGTAAAATTGATGCGCTGGTAATTCACAGGGAGTTTTTGACTGGTGCACACTTGATAGGCCCTGTGTCTTTTTCTGTCCTGTAGACCTCTATGACGCCATGACTTGACTATTCTAAAAACAGATAATGGAAGTGTTTCCCAAATAAAGATGTTGTCAATGTAAGAACATGGAAATGAAATTGGGAATGGAACCAACCATGTGGTGGACTGTAACAGATGGAGTCTGTGACAGGCAATTAATGCATTGCCATTTATGCAACATTCAATTTACCTGATTGGTTAGATGGTCCGTCAAGTCATCAGAATTTGGACTGTATTCATTGCAGGTCAACTTGGCATAACCATGGCGAAAGAAAGTCACATAGGGCGAGGTACAGGCAATCAAAAAGTAGGAACGGACATCAAACTTTCTACCTTCTAGGAGTAAGGGCTCAGCAACATATCTGTTTGGGTTAAATATGCAGGTATTTGAGCACATTTTGATGGACAGACATTTCATTCTCAGCATCTCTATCCAAACAAGCATCAGTTATTTTCCATTACTCCATATTGGTTGCCCCTCTTATCATAAAGTTAAACATGTTGATTGAAGGGGAGATTTTCCTCCTATTTTTTTCAGTTTTCTTCATGATATTCCTGCATATTTCCTGTATGCTCTCAATGTCCAGTCAGAATATCCCAACTCAAAGGAAACAATTTTCCTTTGTTTATCAATCAGGGTGAAGGTCTCCATGCTTAATACTTTCTTCATTCAATGACCACACAAAACCAAAGGAATTCTACAGCAGCCATGAAGGCCTTTCACCCCATCATGCAGGTCATAGCTATTTACTGGGAAAATGCAAAACTAATCCTCTTTCAGGAGCCACTACAGACATGATGGGTTGAATGGCCTCTTTCTGTACTGTAAAATTCTAAAATTCTATTCTATAACTCCACTCATTCATTTTCTTCCACAGCCTTGTGGCCAATGTTTATCTACTCTTCCTATTAAAGGTATTATGGGTCTGTGCTAAAGCTACTTCCTTTGGAAAAGTATATGCCCAAATTTAGAATTCAAAGCACGCAGGCTATAGGAGAATAGAAAATTGACACTGTTAAAGGGGCTTGTGTTCACTGCGCCTCTACATATTGAGCTGCCAACTATTTAGTCAGTAAACCCAAATGAAAAAGTGCTGTTCTTTATTGACAGAAGGAATTTGCATAGACTGTCTGTAATTAGTTTAAATCAGGAATCTTCCTTATAATGTAATCAGGAGGAGGAAATGACACACAATAGGCTCAACCTCTGTGTACAACAGGTGCGGCTTGAAAGGCATGTTCCCTTCAGTTAGCTCCATTGCTATGTCTCCTAGCAACTGACTCTGTAACAAGACCAAAACAACGCAGGAATTAAGGAAGTTACTGAGTCTTAATGGAGCCTTCCAGCTGTTTTCTTAAAGTGGTACTGCAGTATTTATCAGTGATTGTGCAGCTCCAATTATTGCCCAGCTTAGGTACTCCCTGTTTGCAGATTCTGATAGGCACTGCAAATTTGACGCTTCTTGCAAACATGTCTGATCCTTGGGTCTACAGAGTCAGGGTCATTTATCTAGGCGTGTCAGAAGAAATGTGTTGAGGCAGATCAAAACTCCTCCAGCAAGAAGACCATTCTAAGCATCAGTGAGACCAATTGCTTGTTAAATAAACTGATGTATCTGTTGCAGATTTCAGGCACAATCCAATGGCCCAAACCTTTCTCTAATACCTTTTTACTGCTGAAGCATGACATCCCAACTTTCTTGCCAAATAATGTTTAGTTGTCACTGTCCCATGAATCAATCACATACCAAAAGGTGAGAGAACAGTCTGGAATCAGCTGGTTTGAATGTTATTAACTTTTATAGAGTCTTAACTTTTATAGCTGAATTACTGCTGCTATAAACACGGTCTTTTGCCCCAGTGAACCCATTCACCATGGCCTGGTGTGTTTTGTACTTCTTAAACCTTGTGCTCTTTCTGTTCTTCCATTGAGAGAGGAAGGAATGAAGTGGATGGTTCCCTGGTACTCAGTGCTTGTTACTAATTATAGAGATAACCCAGACACGCCACCTCCTACTGGAGCATAAGAATGCCCTACAAAGTGCAGTCCATGAGTGTTCAAGTCTGTACAAGCAGTGATAATGCTACAGTGGTTTGTGTAATAGTTATTCTTGGAGAGATGTTGACTGATGTCGCATTTTGGACAGTTACTGTTGTACAAGCTCAGAGACATCACTCTGATGTATTATCGATTTGTCTTTTGGGTTATGTAAAGGCTGTTTTGAGGTTAAAGACTGACATACTCTCCTTCTTCCCCACAAATTCACCATGGTCAATAACGTCTGGCTAGATTTCTTATTCATTAAATAGCCAGCAGACCCTGTTACACAAATGCAGCATATTTGTCTAAGATTAGTAGAGTTCACCCACAGAGCAATACACTAAGAAAGATACACTAAGTGTGAACAATGCTGCAATTTTGCAACAAGTGCAATAGAGGAAAAACGCTATTCCATGAAGACCTTTTATGCCACATTACATCATTTAAGGATGTCCTTTTGTGTTAATACAAGCAAATAAACTGTAATCTTATTTGGAATTTTTTTAAATCACCTTTGTACTATTCTGTTAAGAGGAGAATTGTAGGAACACATTCTGAAATAGGGATTTTCCTCCACACTTTCCAGTTTTTTAAAAAAGGCAGTTATATCATTGAGAGTCCTCAAGAGGAAGATTCCTCTGCCTTGGCATGATTCAGCAGGTTTAGATATCCAAGTCTGGCCTTCTACATAAAACAGAGAGGAATAGGAAACAAACATCAGCAAAAGGTATTGTTCACCAACCATGCATCTCAACAAGCAGTTTAATACATTGCTTCCTCTTTGGGTCAGCTCATTCCATCAAAAGTTATTACCTGGAGTTGTTATTGGGGGCGTACATATTTACATCTCTTTCTGGACTAGTCAAAGTAGTGGTAAATGCAGGGGAAATGTGTTCTGCCATTTTAAAACTATTAATAATTTGCAATAGTTGGAAACATTGTCTTATAAAAGCTCACTCCAAAAGGAAGTTGAAGCGGTAGATTTTTTTGGGCTGATGTGATCACAGGAGTAGGGGTGAGGGGTCAGTAGCTATCAGTGAAGGGTTCCATGTGGGATCAATATTCGGCAGCACCATGCCTTATCGAGCTGAATTACGATATGAGTTAGCATCTTCAGTAATAGATAAACATTATGAATCTTCAGGGGAAACAATGGAGCTACCTTGCAACATCAGGTGAGCCACATAGCTGACTGGCCAGTTGCAAGTCAGGAGTAATCCTTGGGATTGTCAAGATGGTAAGAGCAAGGGCATTCCTTCTCCTTTCAGCAGCATATCAAACTTAAAACAAAATACTTATCTTTTTGATGGTGACTGCTAACTACAGCATATCTACATCTGAATTACCCGAGTGGAGAATGCTCAAGGCAGCCCAGGTTCTTTGAAGAATCCTAAGACAGGTGTAGGGCAGGCAGCAAAATTAAATTTCTATTGTATTGTGTGTCTTATAAAATGTATAGCAAGATAATGTTTGATATTCAAAATATAGTATGGTCTTAGAAACAGTAAATTTACTATCTATGTACAAAGTGCCATAGACTGACTTCTAATGCTAAGTCTACTACTTCAATGACAGAAACAAAAAGTCTATCCAATATCTTTCCTTCAGCACCTGCTAATTTGTAGAATTGACTAACAGCCAGTATGTCTCCTTTTGAAATGCTCCGGTTTTATCACAGGGAGACATCAGATATGAGTCATTATTAATGGTCAGCTTTCCTGATAATTCAATTTACTTGTTCTTCTCCTGACCTTCAGTTCACTGCATTGCACATTGTTCCCACTTTGAGTATTTGTGTTAGCATTTACTACAGGTTTCTTTACTCCAGATCTATATTCAGAAACCTTCAGGTAACCTTCTAAAACCTTCTCCTAGCATTCACAAACATACCGAGAACATTTGAAAATCTTCAAGTATTAGGGAACAACATCTAAGCTAATACATTTTAACAGGAACGGCTAGGTATCAGGGCCCTCACCAAGAATGTATATTGAGGCTTGACTGAGGGCCTAGAGTCCATTATGGAACTCACTACCCTCACCCTTAAGGAAAATAACTCTTGCTGTGCAATTTATTCTGTCAATTCCACTATGTCTACTTACACAATATAAAGAGGTTTCAAATGCTTGCAGTTTCTTATTAATACTTTAAATGGCCTGGATTATTGACTTATAGGGATGTAGTCTCTTGATGTAGTTATGTAAGGTATGATTTGTTTGGTTAGCACACAAAGTAATATTTTTCACTGTACTTCGGTACATGTGATCAAATCAAATTTTTAAGTGGAATGAGTGACTGTCTCAAAAAAGCTTTGATACACACGCTGTTATAACTAAAAATGGATGCTATAAATCAGAAGCAAAAACAGAAATTGCTGGAAAAGCTCATCAGGTCTGGCAGAATCTGTGGAGAGAAATCAGAGTTAACGTTTCAGGTCAAGTGACCCTTCCTCAGTTTTGAGTCCTGAGGAAGGGTCACTCGATCCAAAACATTAACTCTGATTTCTCTCCACAAATGCTGCCAGAGCTGCTGAACTTTTCCAGCAATTTCTGTTTTTGATGCTATTATAATTGTGGGTCTTATTGGTCTGATGGAGTGTAAAGTGCTTGAATGGGCATGCAAGTGTCACAGCTATGCATGAAACATATAAGTTGCTATTGGGGGTGAGTGCAGGGACAAAACTTGGCACAGGGAGCATGGGTAAGAACTTTTGAGCTCTTGTTTCAAAAGGTTCCCTCATCCAAACCAGGGTGCACAATATCTCTGAGGTGCTGTGAATGACAGGTCTCTTATAGCTGGCTCAAATCTATTAAATTTGCACAGAACGAGGGCATGCCTATCTCTGCAGGAGAACCAGCCAGGAGAGGAATACTGGGTGTGGGCTTACAACATGCCATATTCTTAAACTGTAGTGGTAAAAAAATCAGGCATGCTGGGAATGGGAATCCAGGAGTCAGGTCCTGTTTGCTATTTTTAAACTTCCATGGAGTCTCCCTGACGCCATGAAATTCCGGCCCTGAAGGGACAGATTTGTCATTAGTTTGAATTATTTTCAGAAGTATATTTCAATAACACAAATATATTTCAGAGAATGTAAAATTAAAATTTGAGGTTGCCTAGAAAAAGCTTTAGCAGATATGTTCTCAACATATGAGGAATTAGTACAATTCCAAATCTGCTGCTAACTTTGGCTTGATCTTAAACCAACTTAAAAATGTATTTGACTTCTTTCCTTCCAAGTCCCATGATCATTCAGTCAAAAGCAGAAAAAATCTCCTTTACCAGTCAATAACGCCTGTTGCTCTTTGTTTACTTCAAATGCTTGGACTCACCACTGCTGGCCTGCAACACCTTACATTTCACAAGAGTTCATTGAAGAGGGGTGGCTCAACCATGGCTCAAAAATGGAAGGCAAAAGAGCCGGATATGAACTATAGCTGTGAACTATAGCTTTGAGTCAACCCTTGTCAATTTGGAAAAAGGCTTTGCCAATAATTTTGTTTAAAGCAGTGGCTTTGAACCGGTGCATGTTCACTTTACATTAGCTCTACTCATTCTACTGATGTCACGCACAGTCTGAGGGTAAAGACAAGGAGTTCTACTCTAACTTTCAGAGGGACCAGATGTATTTTCCACCAGTACCCTAAGGCCCTAGTAATCCTGATCAAATGTAGTTATATTTATTGCTATCAAGCAATTCATCTATCATATTATCTAAGAACTGTGCCTCTTCTATAGAGACTCCACGGTGCTGTATGCTGCACCATTAATCACTAGATAAGCCCAAGACAAAGCGAAGATAAAAGAGAATTTGTGCAGCAAGTAACACTTTTTAATTTCAAAAAATATGCTTTATTCATAAAAGTCTTTATATACATACATAGTCACTACAGCAGTTCAATTCTGTACGTGGCTTTACAAGTAACCCTTATCCAATTCCACACACTGATAGACATGGCAAACAGCACAAGATTTCAACAGTTGTCAGGGAAGATACCACATAAAGTAATGCCAATTACCCTTTTATAATCAGCTGGAAGGGCAAGACATTTGAAGGAGCCAGTTCATAATTTTAGAGTGGAAGAATTCATCACTGTTCAATCTGAATGCCATTTAGACAACCATAAGGAGACAGCCAAGGTAGTATAGTAATTGAGAGAATGAGCCAACTTAGGGGAGAGGCAATGGCCTAACGGTATTATCGCTGAACTGTTAATCCAAAGACCCAGATAATGTTCCAAGGACCTGGGTTCAAATCCAGCCATGGCAGATGGTGGAATTTAAATTCAATAAATATCCGGAATTAAGAATCTAATAATGACCATGAATCCATTGTCAATTGTGGGGAAAACTCATCTGGTTCACTAATGTCCTTTAGGGAAGGAAACTGCCATCCTTACCTGGTCTGGCCTACATGTGACTCAAGACCCACAGCAATGTAGTTGACTCTGGGCAATAAATGCTGCCTAGCCAGCAACACCCTCATCCCTAATGAATGAATAAAAAAAACTCAATCAAATTTGATACAGGACTAAATATTGGCAGGAATCTGGAGTTGGGGGGGTCAGAATTCCATGGAATAGAAAGTTCTATTAAGGGAAAGAAAGAACAGCGGTCTAAAAGGATGAAGAACCTTACCTCGGAAGACTCGATGGAAAGCATAGCGCTCACTTTTTAGATCCATACGGTACGTTTCAGGATAAAATTCTTCCAGTTTCATGAATCTTAAAATAAAAAAGCACAGTATGTGAAGAAGGAAATCTTTACAACGTTTTTTTTTCCAGTACAATGAGTAATTGTCAATCTATTGCATGTGAGTAACAGCTATGATTATGGTTCATTATATCAAATACCTTTACAAAAATTGGAAGGCCAAATTAGAAATAGGAAGCAGATTCAAAAGTAATGTTCAATGTTGGATCTACACTTGAAATGGGCAAACAACAGGAGGGTAGTTCAATTCAACAGCTCTTTCAAAGAGCCAGTACCACCACATTGGGCTGCAGGGCTATCTTCTCTGTTGTGTGGTTCTATGAGTTTTAGTGCTAAAGAACTTCATGCTGACCTTGTTTTACCACTGGATTCTGCCACTGGGTTCTCTTTTTGTCACAAAATGCATACACATTTTGTAGTAGGTATTGTTGAATAGCTTAGTAGGTACCTGAGCTGATTTTTTTCTTTCCCTAGTCCGTGGTGGCTAAGAAAAATTTTTGAACCTGCTGAGGTTCAGAGCTTTGTTAACTATATCTCCATATCAGGCTTAACACTGAAGGATATCTATTCAATTGAGCACACAAAGCAAAGTATGCACAATCATGTAGAGTTTATAAATTTACAGAACCTCTATTCTCTCAATCTTGGAACTTCCATGCTGTCACCTTCAGGCTATAGTCAGAACAGTTGACTGGGGACTGATGCCTCAAAAACAATTCTGCAGATTTAGGCAAAACAACAGCTGAGCCAAGACTGGAATAGAAGTCTAAGGCACAAAGCATCAGCACTGACTGATTTTTCATTTTGCTACAATTAAGTACTGCATAAAAGACACAGCAACAGGTAAAACAAAGCAGCTAAAACTCATTCAACACAATAGTAGGACGTACTTGATACAGAGCAGACTGTCTCACACAGAATAACCGTTGGAAATTTTATTGGGAGATGACAATGTCAAAAGATTAGTAAACCAAAGGCCTCTGGAGGACAGGTTCAAAAACCCATCATGGCAGCTGGTGGAATTTAAATAAAATTAATAATTTTTTTTCATTGAGAGCGTCACTGGCTAGGCAGCATTCATTGCCTATCCCTAATTGCCCAGAGGACAGCTAAGAGTCAACCACATTGCTGTGGGTCTGGAGTTACATTTAGGCCAAACCAGGTAAGAATACCAGTTTCCTTCCCTAAAGGACATTAGTGAATCAGATGGGTTTTTCCAACAATCGACAATGGATTTACGGTCATCATTAGATCCTTAATTCCAGATATTTATTGAATTCAAATTCCACCATCTGCCATGGTGGGATTTGAACCTGGGTCCCCAGAACATTATCTGAGTCTCTGGATTAACACTTCAGCAATAATACCACTGGGCCATTGCCTCCCCTTCTGGAGTATGAAAGTTAGTCTTAAGAATGGTGACCAGGAAACTATCATTGACTGTTGAGAAAACCTACCTGGTTCACTAATGTTTATTAGGGAAGGAAGTCTGCTGTCCTTACCTTATCTGGGACTACATGTGAGTCCAGACTCATAGCAATGTGATTGATACTTAATTGCTCACTGCAATGGCTGAGCAAGCCATTTAGTTCAAGAGTAATTAGGGATGGGCAATAGTGGTGGCCTTGCCAATAACATTCACACCCTTGAAAGAATAATGACTAACACAAACTATAGACTGCCTGTATTAGATAAATCATAGTTACCTGCCCTTCCACTATCCAAAGTCAATTGGAATTCTATGAAATCAAAATAGAACACACGTATGGAAGCAGCCGTTGCTCTCAGTACAATATCAAAGAGAAAGACCGTATCCTCATGTAGTTACAGATGCCTGGCTATCAGCGTATTTGGAATTTAAATGGCCTCTCCACCACTCCTTCGACAGGATATACTGGTCTTAGAGGCAGTTTAGACTGGAGTAGCTAAAATGATCAGAACTCGGAGGGTTAAATTATGAAGTTACGGAGATAAGGAGAATTGATAAAGTGGATAGAAACTGTTTCCACTGGGTGGGGAATCAAGAACTACAAAACCTAAGTAGGTTTAAAAATAAGAACCTGACCTTTGAGGAATGAAGACAGGATATACTTCAATGTGCAAAGGATGGTAGGAAGTATGGAACTCTTACCGTTTATGCTAGATCAATCGTTGATTTCATATCTGAGAAAGATAGATTTCTGGGAATCAAAGATATTAATGGATATGGAGTCAAGGTTGAATTGGGTCCTAGGGCAGCCATGATCTTATGGAATGGTGGGAATTGGCTTGAAGATCTAAATGGCCTGCTTTTTGTATATTTGTAGAAGATTGACTGTGGCACCCAGAGTACAGTAATGCTTTGGATTTATTGAGATGTGGGATTAGCCCCCAGTATATGTACCTTACCCAAGCAGAATGACCTGATGCATGAGGGGCTGTGGAGTCACTATGCTCATAATTATAAAATTATGCTCTGGCATGTAGTGCCTTCGAGAGAAGAGGGAAAATTGGAGGACAGTATTAGCTACCATAAATGAATGTAATCTAAAGGGATGCAACATGTGTACATATTAACCTAACAATGGTTTTACATTAATATTCAATAAATAGAACATAATTATTTTAAGCTTGCTAAACTTGCTACAAACAGGAGGGATGAACTGAAACTATCAGTTCCTTCCCTGTTATTGTACTCAGTGTAGTTTATGTTTGAAATGATAGATGTGTGTGTTTCTAAACCCCAGTTAATGTGTGCTCAAATTAAAATTACCAGCAGCAGACCTCCATGGGATTATTTACCCTGAAAGCTTTAAGAGCTAAGCAGCCACATACCACCCAGGTCAAGAAAAATTCGATTAAAGAATTGGTAACAGTTCACATGTCTTTGAAAGTCCAGTGAAGGAGGAAATATTTTCCTGTTCTTGACATGTATTTCAGATATGTTCAGATACTTGGATTGACTGTAGAGTTCATTCAAAGAGAAAAATGTTCAACAGGTCAAGTAGACAGGCACTTATGGCTGTTGTATCAAAAGGTCCATTTTCTTTACAGATAAATTTAGAGCTTTGGAATCAGATTGGAAGAAATTAAAGCCTTTCGCATCCTAGAAGCTAAAAGTAGCACAGCCTTTCCCTTGATATCTTGTTAGTGTTATTCTTCAGACTGTCCCTGGTCTCTTGCGAGTTTTGGGATAAAAGAATGTCAGTATCTGAGAACCAGTTCCAGTCACAATCTTAATTATCATTGATATTCAACAGAACGTAAATGGTGGTATTTTAGCCTTCAATTTGAGTATAGGAGTTGGGAGGTCATGTTGTGGCTGTACAGGACATTGGTTCGGCCACTTTTGGAGTATTGTGTGCAATTCTGGTCTCCCTCCTATAGGAAGGATGTGGTGAAACTAAATGGGTTCAGAAAAGAGTTACGAGGATGTTGCCATTGTGGGAGGGTTTGAGATATAGTGAGAAATTGAATAGGCTGGGGTTATTTTCCCTGGAGTGTCAGAGGCTAAGGGGTGACCTTATAGAGTTATAAAATCATAAGGGACATGGATAGGGTGAATAGCCAAGGTCTTTATCCTGGGGTGGGGCTGTCCAAAACGAGAGGGCATTGGTTTAAGGTGAGATGGGGGAAGATTTAAAAGGGACCGAAGGGGCAACTTTTTCACACAGAGAGTGGTGTGTGTATGGAATGAGCTGCCAGAGGAAGTGGTGGAAGCTGGTACAATTACAACATTTAAAAGGCACCTGGATGGGTACATGAATAGGAAGGGCTTAGAGGGATATGGGCCAAACGCTGGCAAATGGGTCTAGATTTATGTGAGATAAGTGGTCAGCATGGACAAGTCGTACCAAAGGGTCTGTTTCCATGCTGTACATGTCTATGACTCTATGAGTCTTATTCAGTTTTCCTTTGTTACACTGCAAACCTGTTTTGGGATAGGCTTTGAACAATGTCTTGAATAAATTTCTTGAAAGAAGTGCTGTTTAGGCATGTTCATTAAACTGGAAGGTTCAGAACTTTCTGGAAGCTTAGTAGTCTGTTGATTTGCAAAGACCACCTGACCTCCTGGGCAGGCACCTTAACAGTTCATTAGTGTCCACTAATGAAATGTCCACTTCTAAAATCATAGTTTTAAAAAACGGTTGTATCTTCATGCTTGCACTGCTATGATGATCTAAAAGACCATTCAGAAGTAACAGGACAGTAACTAGTGAGGCTAGAAGTTTCCTGCAATTTATTCGAAGTTCTAGTTCATTGAAAGATTTGATGTTTAATTCTGTCACGATTTAAATTGCCTTTTCACATTTTGATTTGTTCCATTCAAATTATTTCTTAAGCATAGGATTGTACAGGATCAAATCTCAGCTGAAGCAGAAATGTGGCTATGGGATTCACTACAGAGAAACGCTAAGATACAAAAAGGAACATGCTCTGCTGGGCCAAATGGCCTCCTTCTGTGCTACAACCATTCTGTGAAAGTGCAAAACAAAGGATACGCTGAATGATAATCACCCACAATTCTAAAATATATTTTTATATTACAATTTTCCCTTTCTCAGGACTTTTCCACACTGCGGCCTGAAAGGGGGGGACAATCATCAAACATTCCACTGCCTGGTCTCTTGCCAATACTTTTTTTTGAGGCATTTAGTTTCCTTGTGTTGGCTCACCTGCCAATGAATACTCCTACAGCCTTCTTTTCTGTGCCTGAACTTACCTCACTGTACACCTTGTAGCATAGCTCATTAGAGCACTCTTCGACTTGGCCAGGTTCCTATCAAGTGCTATTTTCAGTCACTAGGGTAGAAACTGACCTTGTTTTACAGGTAAAACAAAAGTACAATGAGGACATGCAATCACCATTAAAGCCCAGAAGGGGTCAGAGCATTTCACAGACATCCTCAGTGGTTGCTGGAGTCAGGTATAAAAATGCAAATGAAGAGCCTACAACCTATCGTAGAATACTTCTCAGAAATTTGCTGGTTTAGCGACTGCCAACTTTGTGAGATTACTATTGCAAACAAGT